AAAAAATAAAAATGGGGGAAAAAGGGGGCAAATTGTGGTTTTTACAGCTCAAGCCCACAAATCCCAGACAAGGCTATTTATTTTTTTGTCAATAATTCTTCTTACATGGCCCCAAGTTTTCAAATTAATTAATTAGAAACTCCAATATTTTTGAATAATTATTTCAAACATTGTTCTTTTGTACTTAATTGCTCACAGATTTTGGCAGCATGTTGTTATCTTTTTGGTAGCAGTAAAGGTAACTTGTTCACAGTTTTATTGTAGATTATTATTGTGCATACATGTGTGCTGACTGCTGAGTAACTTGTGTTGAAATAGGGTTAATTATGTGAAATATAAATAAATGAAAAATAAACAGACAATAAATAAATAAATAAATAAATAATTGTTAAGTTAGGCATTTATTCTAGTCAGCTGCTGTCCCAGTCAAGGACACAAATACTGGGCCAGACCTGATAATATTTTCTTTTTATAAAGAATAACCATAAAACTACTCCAAAACTTAGGTCTAATTGCAAAAATAATTATAGAATTCATTTCAAATTGTGAATTGTGTCATCTTGAACATGTCCCAATTCAGTCAGCTAAAACAGTCTTCCATCAATATGACTATTTTGTTAAATTAAATATGCACATGTTTGTATTATTGATTATGATAGCAATTCCTGAAAATGAGCTCAATAAATGCTATTAATTGGAAATGGGAGATGCATGTATGCCACATGTGTGGACCTCAATCCACCCATTTTTAATTTCTAAACCTATTTTTTGGTACCTCATAACTTATATTTCCAATTTTGGTGCATGTTTCTATTATCACAAATGCTGATATTGGATTGCTTAAATTGTTAATCAGACATATTTATGAAATAAATATACTTATGAAATGGCACAATTTTATTTTTTTTTTTCATTTTAAAATGTGACATTTAAGTATGAAAGTTCGTATATATATTAGATAGGCTAGTAGAATAACTAGGTTGAATTAAAAGATTGTTGGGCTATCTTTTTCTTCAACTTTTGACATCAAGTCACAAAATACACATATTCAAAAATAACATGAGTATTTTTTTTTTTGGTATATGTAAGATCAATTATAATCATTATATTTTGATTCCGTTAATCATATTCTCAACATTTTCTTCATTTTTCAAAATTACTTTTATAGTAGACTAGTAGTAAAAACCAATGTTATCAAAATCGGACCGGACCGGCCGGTTCGACCGGTTCGACCGGGAACCGGACCTAGTACCGGTCCGGTTTGAGTGTTTAAACCGATGGGAACAAGAACCGGTTTCGAACCGTTCGAACCGGTTCTGAAATTTGAAAAAAAAAAACCTAATGAAATAAAAAAAATCAAACAAAAGGAAAAGAGTGAGAGAGTATTTTGATGTTTGATGAATTGTAATGTTAGATTGGATATATTTTGATGTTTGATGACTTTGTAGTTTGTATTTGTAATTTGGATTACCTTGCTTTAGATATTGACTTATTAATCTATTGTTTTAGTGAACTTAATTTAGTATTGCTTATGGTAAACTATACTTAAAATATTGATTTATCAACTCTTATTTAGAAAAATATCATTATATGCTATAAAATTAATGATAAAAAGTATATATATATATATATAATTATATATTATACATATAAAATAAATAAATAAATTGTATATTAGTTAAACCGGTTCGACCGGTTCGACCACTGGTCTGACCAGTGAACTATTGAACCAGTAGCTTCACCGGTTCGATGACCAGTCCGATTTTGATAACATTGGTAAAAACTAAAATGATAAAAAGTGAAAAGGGTTGAAAATTCACAGGCTCATTTGTCAACACCTCAATTTCCCAGGGACGTATATGCAAAAAGGCCGAAAATACAGTAAAGACGTGTCTATACCGTATGACGTATGTGGGTGTAACTAGTAAACGAAAACCCAACATCATTTTCCATTCTCTCACTTTCCACGTTCCATCACTTTATTTTCCATAATCACACTTTAGCACCCATAATTTCGCCACTGTTTCAAATTGACCAAATCCGTCTATCACTTAAATCAGTTAAGAAATCCTCGTGATTTTCAGACTTCTGAATTTGTGCTCTGAATATTCTCTCATTTTCCCAATAAAAGGAGCTCATGCCCCCATTAGGGTTTCAAAAAAACATCCCCTTTTTTCAACCATTTCCCCTCCCCTTCATCAATACTCCATTGAAAATGCTCTTGATCCTCGAAATTCGTTGTAATTGTCTCTTGAATGAACCCTAAAGATTGTTGGTGCTTGGAGTTTGTGGGTTTGAGTCTCTTCCTTTATTTTTTGTCTGTTTTTTCTTTCCTTCATCAACACTCCATTGATAAAGCTCTTGATCCTCGAAATTCATTGTAATAGTGAATGAACCTTAAAGATTGTTGGGTTTTGCATTTTCGTGCTTGTGGTTTGTGGGTTGAGGCTCTTTTTTGGTTTGGTACCACGATTTTCTGGTGGAAAGATCGTTCTTTCTGATTAAGCTCCACCGCGCCCTTTTTTCCGGCATATCTTGCCATTATCGGCTCTAATTAGGGTTCGAAAATTCTGTTGTTTTAATAAAGGTGGAAACTTTCGGATCCTTTGTTAATTTTGTCGCAAATTTGATTTTTCCCCTTACATTTTTTTGAGAATGCCAGCAACAGATTACCACCATCACGAATCATCGCCCTCTCCCTCGAGCTTCGGCTTCTCCATCCTCAGCCGGCGCCGGGACCAAGTCCACTCCATGGACCCCACGCACGGGCTCTCAGGCCTAGACGCCGAGCTCGAGTCTTTCCAGCGCCAGGTAGCCGAAATGTTTCACGACCTGGCCTCAGGCAACCCTGAGGACCTCCTTTCAATCTCCTGGGTCCGCAAGCTTCTAGACACTTTCCTCCTCTGCCAGGAACAATTCAGGATAATTATCCTCAACAACAGGGGAGCCCTTAACAAACCCCCCATGGATCGACACATTTCCGAGTTTTTCGAGAGGAGCGTGAAAGCTCTCGACGTTTGCAACGCCATTAGAGATGGAGTCGAGCAGATTCGGCAGTGGCAGAAGTTGTTAGAAATCATCTCATGCGCTTTGGACGATAGTCAGAAGAGTATTGGGGAAGGACAATTTCGTCGTGCTAAAAAGGCTCTAGTCGAATTAGCCCTAGCAATGATCGACGATAAAGAATCATCAAACTCGACCGTTAATTCACACAGAAACAGGTCATTCGGCCGCCATAAGGAGCCCAAGTCATTGAGCCATTTTCGCTCCTTGTCATGGAGCGTGTCCAGGTCATGGTCAGCTGCTCGGCAATTGCAGGCGATTGGGAATAATCTAGTCGGGCCAAAGCCGAATGAGACGGCCTTAACTGGCGGGCTTAATGTTGCAGTCTTCACAATGAATTATGTTCTCCTGTTTGTTATGTGGGCCCTAGTGGCCGCAATCCCCTGCCAGGACCGCGGGCTTCAGGCCCACTTTTATTATGTTGGGACGAGGCAGTTCGCGTGGGCTGGCCCGATTCTCTCGCTGCACGAGAGGATTCTGGAGGAGTCCAAGAAGAGGGAAAGGAGGAACACGTGTGGGCTTTTGAAGGAGATTCGTGATGTGGAGAGATGTGCGAGGTTCATGAATGAGTTGATAACGGATTTTACGAATTTCCCGTTGGATGAGGAAAAGGAGAGGGAAGTTCGGTCGAGGGTTAGGGAAGTGGGTTTGGTGTATGAGGGGATTAAGGAAGGTTTGGATCCTTTGGAACGTTTGGTTCGGGAGGTTTTTCGTAGGATCGTGAGGGTTAGGACGGACGGGCTTGATTCGACCGGTGGTCGGGTGAATAGCTAGTAGCCATGGAGATTTTTTTTTTTATTGTGTGTGTGTGTGTGATGGGATGTTGTTGTTTTCTTGTTCTTTATGTTTTTGTCTTGGATGAACTTGAAAGTGAGTGGCAACAATGTGTGTGGTTCAAATGAAAGGAGTTTGAGATGAGAGGCTATTGAAATTTGAAGTGTTGGAATTGTATAGTGTGTTTCATAATTTCTGGTTCTTGTATTTTGTCATGGAGTTTATTGGCTTCTTGTGGTTTGTAAATTCATGTCAAGATTTCTACTTTCTTTATTAGTCTTTATGGAACATGCTAAAGATGAGGTGTTTGGTTATTCCATTTGCTATATCTAGATTTCACCACCGATGGTTGGTAGTTGGTACAATTGTAAAATAAGTGGAAAATTACATATAAGAAGTCTGAAAACGGAGAATCTGATCCTTTTTTTTTTTTAATTGACAGTATTTTTCTAATTTTTAAAGAAGAAATTGACAGTATTTTTATTTTCTTTTCCTCTCCCTAGTTTCCTAGACATGGAATTGATGCAATTATTGCACAAAAAGAAAAAGAATGCATAAGAAGCCCTTTTTTTCAAAGATTAATTTGTTTCTTTTCTCTCTTTTTAATTTGTTCACATTGATTTTAAGGCATGGACTACTGATATACCAGTTATCACTTAAACACAGGACCACAAGTATTAGCCTTAAAAGTGAACAGTAAGTAATTATTATTCTTAACATTTTTTCCTTCTATTTTTTAAAGAAAAATAACATCCCTACTTTAGTCTTTTATGACTCGCATAACCAAGAAGAAAATCATGATGTAAACCAGTCATGGCTTGAATGATATTAGAGGCTCACATTAGAGGACTTTTCTTTTGTGGACTCAGACCAAGTTTTTGCTAGTCATATATTTATTTATCCTTATTTCTGTTTATATTATTTATGAATAATATGAGTGCAACTGATATGACTGATTCCAGTTCCAATGTTTGCTTGTGCTATACGTGGATTCAAGTTCAACAAATTATTAATATCCAGATTTAGAAGGTATATTAGACCGGATTTAAGTCAACAGACAGTGAGATTTGTAAAAAAGAAATTTGTTGTGAGATCGGTAAATAAGTAGAAGTGTGAATTTAATCATTTATTGCAGCAAGGATATGATTAACTCTAAAAATTAGGATCATAACTCATATGTTTGATCTTTCTTTTTTTATTTCTTGAAATTAAAAAAAAAAAAAAGATGTAAAAAATAAAGTAGAAAGTTCTCTTATGTTCTTACCAGTTACCAGGACTTTTGACGGACTTATATTTACTTCACGAATATTGGTAAGGTGTTTGTTTATTATTTCTATGGTGGGTTCTAGTTTCCTTTGTGATTTAACACAATTTTGATATTTTAGTAGTTAAAAAAAGCTTGATCTACATAATAATTGACCTCCAACATAGACAGCAAATTATATGCGTGCGTGGTCCCATACTCCCTATTTATGTGTAGAAAATAATTTCTCAAACTGATTTTTCATAAATTAATTTGTTCAACTATAAATAAAATCATATGTAACTTGTGAAACAAATACAATAAAAATAACATTCGTATCCTTTGAGAAAATAGAAGAAAATACCGATAAAATTGTGCTCTTCAACTTCAAGTTCAATGCTTCTTAAAATCAGACTTCTTGATTATTTGATAATTATTAGTACATTTAGAAGAAGAAAAAATAGTCTTTCATTTATAGAATTACTACTTACTAGTATAGACACAAAAACCATTGTTGGGCTTAGACATGGGCTTATAACTGGGTTTGTTCTTGCTTTTGGGCTCATCCTTTGCTGATAATGGACATTGAGACAGGGCTCGTACGTTGAGGGTAAACGGACTAGTGAGGATTTTGGGATGGGCTTACTTCGATTTGTGCTGTAAGTTAGCAACCATCGATTCTCAAGACAGAGTTGGTGGGCCGAAGATTACCGAGTTCATGTCATGATATTGTACTAATATATGGGCTAGTCTCGAAGTAATATGTAAAAAGTACATGTTTTTGTCACTTCGAATTTTGTCTTCTTAAAATTCTGTTTTAAAGATTTTACATATCAATAACAAATAGTTTGCGTCTGTTTATTTATTAGTTTAAAAAAAAAAAAACAAATCAAGTATTATAGTCAAAGTGGTAAGTGTTTAAAAAATAGTCATTCTACCATAAATAGAGTATTTAAATAATGAGAAAATCAATAGAGTTGTTAAAATATAATAGATAATTAAACTTTATAGTTAAAGTGTACCCAAAAATAGACAAGCTACCTTAGTTAGAGTAACTAAGTTAATAAAACAATCAATATAATATAAATGTTTAATAAATAATTGATAACTTGGGAGAGTTTTAATTGCTCAATAAAAAGATTATGCTTTTTTAAATCATACTGTATTGGGTCTACTATAAAAATTGACATACGAGGAATATAAAAAGATATTATTCAATATAAGTGAAAATAAACTTGTCCAATTGATGTGTTAATAAGAAAAAGAGACATATTTTATCTTTAAGGTTATGATTTTTGCTATTTTTATTCAGTTTTATTCATGTCATCAAAATTTGTATGTTCAATTTATGTGGCACAATAAGTAAAATTGGACCAAGAGTATTTGTTGAGGTTGATAATCTTTTAAAGATTGGCTTTTACGATATGTGTGATGGAGTACGGTTTTGCCATGGAGCCAATAGTTGGCTCCATAGTAGAGCCAACCTTCTATATACATCAAATAAACCTACTATATTCTTTGATTACCTAAATACACTAATATAATTTTATGAATATGGTAGGTTTATTTTATGTATATAGAAGGTTGGCTCCACTATGGAACCAACTGTTGGCTCCATAGCAAAACCGGATGGAGTAACACTTTATTTCAGTTTTTAGCAAATATTACTTAGATTGGTGATAATACGCCAAGAAAAGGAGGGCAAAACAAGAATCAAATATAAAAAGAAAAGAAAATGAAATAAATAGGTTTACCACAAATTGAAGAGCAAAGAACAAAAAGTGCTAATGTTTCCCAAAGTAGGGTCAAAAGGGCAGGCAATATATTACCACATATGGCCTAATCATCTCTTAAAGCTTCTTTAAATCCAAAAGCACAACATTAAAAATACTTAGGAAGGAGAAGGCAAAAAAAAAAGGCACCACCCCGCACACGACTTGTTTTCCGGCAAAGTGCATCAATAGCAGTTCGTATCGTAACTCGCAAGCCCCAGCAGCTCGAGACCTTCCAGCCAAGGGTTGTTCTCAAAGCTGCAAAACACAACAAACAAGTTGCTAAACCTTCAAAACCAGGGAGAAAGAAGATCGAGAGCAGAAAATTATGGAGAGAAACACGGGACTGTAAACTCACAAAAACGTAATATAGCATCAAAATCCATTATTTCATATCTATTCATGCTAACTTAAAAGACATGTAAAATAGAATATAATAGAATAATAATCCCGAAGCTTATATAAACATAAAAATGTAGACCATTTAGTACAATCCAATAAATGACATCTATAAATGTATATGATCCACAGAACACCCGTATCACACATAACTTACATCCATAAATGTATATATAACATGCCCAAGTGGTCGTGATTTCAAGATTTCAAGAATAACAAACCAATATATCAAAGACATGATATCTAATAAACAATTTTACAAATCTAGTTCAATGGGATGTGCTCGAATGGACCAGTAGTAGGAATTGTACCATATAATTTGTTATTTGAAACATCTCTACAGAAAAAGAAAAAGGAAAAAAAAAAAAAGAGCATATATGAGTGACCTAACAACACCAGATATATAACACATAGCATAAGAAAAGCATTAGCAGCATTTTGAGAGAAAACTTTCAAGCTAGACATACCAGCTAATGGCCTTGGAACTGGTCCGTGGAGATTATTATCATTTATATGTCTGCCAAATTGATAAAGAATTATTGAATGAAACAACCAACTAAAGGCCTTGGAATTGGTCCGTGGAGATTATGCCAGCTAAAGGCCTTTACGTCAACACAAATAATTCATAATCACCAAACAACCAACCAAAAAATGGTTTGCGTAGTTACAACTTCATTTTTATTAGTTTGAGTCAGCAAAACATTTTCCAAATTGGTTGTATCGAGTATATCTAATGGGCAGACTCATTTAGTGAACATAGCCCAAGCCTACCTCTACTCGTAGTTTACCCCATACCTAATTCTTATATCACCATGTGTTGCAGTTTTTTCTTGTGATCAGAACAACACTAAGGTCAATGGTCATGCAGCAAAATAATTTATCCAACTACAGAGCAGTTCTTAAGAATCTATACATCCAGTAAAGTATACGCTTTTTCAGCAAAAACCACTGGATAAATTGACATAATTAAATGTCTGTCGATCCTTGGTATGCCCCACAAGATGAGTATCCCTGGAACTTTTCTTCAAATTTGTATTATCTATACCAAAGTACAGATCCAGAAGGGTGATGAAAAAAGGAAAATGGTGACCACCATCTGGCCGTGTAGAATCTGAAGATACTTGCGGTGAGACGAGAACGTTGCCTTGCATCAAGTTCGATCTCAGCAGCTCTGCGGTCAACCACAATCTTGTCCTGCTTCCCTATCCTGCAATAATCACTGCAATCAACGCACGTTCAGAGACGATGGGCCTTCTCAGCAACCGTAGTCTTCTTCTCCTCGACTAGCTTATTTTCGGCTGGCTTCTTGTCTACCTTAGGTGCCATTGCAGAGACCGTGGATTGGTAGATAGGAGATACTTTATGCTATTCTAAGCTTTGGGAGAATTCGCAAGAAATTGAAGAACAAGAACAATTTACTTCATATATTAAATGTTAAGGTTGTGATGATATATTTTTGTATTTGAAGGATTGCTATACAAATAATATAAATGTAAGGTTTTTAAATTTGTCATTTGGTTGTGCTACGCCAGATCCTTTGTTTTCTCTTACAAGACATTGTAATTTTCTAGCTCCCTCGGTTATGTCCATGATATAAGCAATCCTTTTCTTGTTTGTTTGTGGGGTTAATAATTTTCTTTTTGTTTAGCTCACTCTGTTGTGAAATAATGTTTACCCTTTACTTTATATTAATTTTCCAAGAATGTAGATTAGAGTATGTAAGCCATTTATCTGGGACTTTTATTTTTTCACTCTCTTTAGGTTGTGAACAAGAAATTAAGTACTGTGGCTTAATATAGTTGCTCGTGATTATTATTTTTTGGTTATATCTAAACCTGTTTGCTTCTTCTATGTTATGGAACCAATAACCTTTTGTTTTAATCTTGCTTGATTTTCTAATGTTACATATAATTTCAGTACTGATCATTATTTGTTTATACAATCTTAGTAAACATAATTTTTTTGTCGAACTTCTACATTTATCTCTTTTCCTAATATTTTCTAAGCATGTCTCATGAAAAAGTCGACTACTGAAAGGCACATGAAATACTAAATGTTTGGTCGACCAACAACATATTTCCACCCAACTATAGTTTTCGTAAGGTGTGCTTCTGCGATGAGTGTAGCACCATGATTGACGAGCTCAACGATTTCGCTGAGAGCACAAGATCCTTACTTGAGAGTGTAATGGTATATATACAGAAAAACTTATACATGTGTAAAGATATTGATGATATATTCACCTTTTTATTGACTCTATCTTTTCATTTATGTAAACAGGACATTACATCTTTTGTCTCCCAGTTGATCATTGTTTCTCTCTTTCATTAGCGTGACACTAGTCAGCACGCACACTCCACAGTTTTCGAATTTTGCTCAAAAGAGAGAGTGAGGTGTGATTCTCTTTTATGGCTAGTACTGACATGATTTCATTTTGTCCAATATTTTCCTTTATTCCCCACAAGCTAGGAGTTCGATTTATACTTGAAGAAAATAAGTTACGAGACAAACAAATTGAAATCCAAAAAGTGATAGCTGAGAGCGGTATCGTTCCTGATTTTGAAATCAATAGAGTTGATGAGAAGGATCTATCATGTGTAGCAGAGTGCATACGTTTTGATATCGGCAGCCGTGGAATAAGATAACTAAATTGGAGATTTTAGAACAAATTTTACTAAACTTAAAAATATCAATCTAATCTGGTATTTAGGTTAATACTTTGTGCGCAAAGTTAGAGCTCAATCATTTAAAACATTTTGGATGGTTTAAATTTACTGTCTTTGATTTCTTTGTTTATTGGAATTATTATTTTGAGTTAATTTTGAATGTCTTTGATTTCTTTGTTTATCGGAATTATTTTTTTGAGTTAATTTTGAATATGTAATTGGAGTTTTTGGCTAAATCCTTTTTGTAGAAGTTNCAGTAAATTTAAATCATCCAAAAGTTTTTAAATGATTGAATTCTAACTTTGCGCACAAAGTATTAACCTAAATACCAGATTATATTGATATTTTTAAGTTTAATAAACTTTGTTCTAAAATCTCCAATTTAGTTATCTTACCCACGGCTGACGATGTCAAAACGTATGTACGTTGCTTCATCAGCTCTATTGACCTCAAAACCAAAAACGATACCACTGTCAGCTATCACTTTTTGGATTTCAATTTGTTTGTCTCGTAACTTATTTTCTTCAAGTGTAAATCAAACTTCTAGTTTGTGGGGAACAAAGAAAAATATTAGACAAAATGAAATCATTTCAATACTAGCCATAAAGAGAATCACACATCACTCTCCCTTTTGAGCAAAATCCAAAACATGTGAACTGTGCGTGCTGACTAGTCACAAGCTAATGAAAGATAGAAACAGTGATCAACTGTATGGAAGAGAAAGGATGTAATGTCATGTTTACAAAGACAGAGTCAATAAAAAGGTGAATATACCATCAATAAATACCTCTTACACGTGTAAAAGTTTTTCTGTATATATACCATTACACTCTCAAGTAAGGATCTTGTGCTCTCAGCGAAGTCGTTGATTTCGTCAATCATGGTGCTACACTCATTCCAGGAGCACACCTTACGAAAACTATAGTTGGGTGGAAATATGTTGGTCTACCAAACGTTTAGTATTACATGTGACTTCCAGTAGTCGATTTTTTCATGAGACATGCTTATGAAATATTAGGGGAGGGTTTAAATGTAAAAGTTCAGCAAAAGAAAATCATGTTTACTAAAATTGTATAAACAAATAATGATCCAAAGTACTGGTGAAATTATATGTAACACTAGAAAATTAAGTACGACCAAAACAAAAAAAATTATTGGTTCCATAACATAGAAGAAGCAAACAGGTTTAGGTATAATAAACAAATAATAATCACGAGCAACTATATTAAGCCACTAACAGTCAGTCGTCACATACTCTGATCAACATTTTTGGAAAACTAATATAAAGTAAAGGGTAATCATTATTTCACAATAGACTAAGCTAAACAAAAAGAAAATTATTAACTCCACAATCAAACAAACAAGAAAATGATTGTTTCTATCATAGACATAACCTAGAGAGATAGAAAATTATCTGGTCGTAGCACAACCAAAGATTAAAATCCAAGAAAAATTAACATATGTAAATACTGAAACGACTTAACCAATTAATATTTGCTAGCTACACGTATGAAGTATATTGCACCTCACATTATAAGTCGTACTCTACTTTTTCGAAAAAGCCTACCTTCTATGAATTCTGAGTTTGTTCTACCTCAATTAAACCTGACACCCACCGAAAATTAGAGAGGAACAAGAGAAAAATGTTATTATGCCAACAGGGGAAAAAAATCCAGACAAGGAAAGAGTAATAAAAAAAAAAAAAAAATACCAGATGGACCAAGCTGCAAGTCTTCCATGCAATCTGCAACATCTACAATTTTAGAGAGAAGAAAAAAAATATTAACAAGACCAGTGAAATCAAACCGACATACAAAATTATAAAAATGGCAGATGACGTTAGACCTGAGAACGAGGCTGACCCAATCCCGACATGGTTCCTAGGAATAAACACAAAAATAAACACAAAAATAAAACTTAATAAATTTTAACTAATAAATAATACAACCTACGTTACTTTTACAAAATAAATCAGTTTTGGACCGTTACAAAATCTTACTTTTACAAAGTATATCAATTATGGATAGTTGCAGGACCGCTTTTTGTAAAGGCATGTAAACATTGAATTTAGGACAAAAAATCTTCATCACACATAAGAGAGATTACCAAAACAAGTATGTACTACCAACCCAATACCCATTTCCACCTGATGAAAACCATTGCAAGGCCTTCAGTTTTATACAAAACAAATATTTGTCGAAACTTCCTTATACCCAACTACAACCCTAACTCTAACCAAACTACAATCAAGAGGGGAGATTACAGAATTGTCAATCAAAAAATAGATAAGCATGTACAGAGGAAAAATGAACAAACCGAGGCTAATTGAAGCTTCACAAAACAATTCAACGACAATACCCAACTCAACCTCGAATAGCCCCGACAAACGAACAATTCAATCTAATAACGAATAATAACAAGAACCCATGTTGAAACCAACCATGTAACGAATAGCCCACGAACCAATCAATTCAATAACCCTAATCAAAAAATTTCGCACATTGAACAATAACAAGAAACTGATTTAGTCTTTTAGACGATAAAAAACCTCCCCGGATCTGCAAGTTTCCGACCAGGACCGCCCTTGATTAGGCCAATTCAACGCACCTGTATATATTCACAAACGCACGCAGGAACAAAACGATGGTGATGAGATCATTATTNAATAAATAGAGTATTTAAATAATGAGAGAATCATTTAATTGTTAAAAATATAATAGATAAATTAATCTATTTGATAAATTAATATAATAGATAAATTAAACTTTATGGTTAAAGTGTGCGCAAAAATAGACATACTACCTTAAAGTAACTAAGTTAATAAAACAATCAATATAATATGAATGTTTAATAAATAATAGATAACTTAGGAGACTTTTAATTGTTCAATAAAAAAATTATGCTTTTTTAAAACATCATACTGTATTGGGTCTACTATAAAAATTGACATACGAGGTATACAAAAAGATATTATTCAATATAAGTGAAAATAAACTTGTCCAATTTATGTGTTAGTAAGAAAAGAGACATACTTTATCTTTAAGTTTATGATTTTTGCTATTTTTACTCAATTTTATTCATGTCATCAAAATTTTTATATTCAATTTATGTGGCACGCTAAGTAAAATAAGTTTATGATTTTTGCTATTTTTACTCAATTTTATTCATGTCATCAAAATTTTTATGTTCAATTTATGTGGCACGCTAAGTAAAATTGGACCAAAAGTATTGTTGACGTTGTTAATCTTTTAAAGATTGGCTTTTGTGTGTGTGTGTGTGTGTGTGTGTGTGATGGAGTAACACTTTATTTCAGTTTTTAGCAAATGTTACTTAGATTATTGATAATACGCCAAGAAAAGGAGGGCAGAACAAGAACAAAATATAAAAAGAAAAGAAAAAGAAATAAATAGGTACCACAAATTGAAAAGCAAAGAACAAAAGTGATAATGTTTCCCAAAGTAGGGTCAAAAGGGTAGCAATATATTGCCACATATGGCCTAATCATCTCTTAAAGCTTCTTTAAATCCAAATGCACAACATTAAAAATACTTAGGAAGGAAAAAAAAAAAAAGGCACCGCCGGGCACACAAGACTCAGAACAAAGTCCTATATCTGTTTTCCAGCAAAGTGCATCAATAGTAGTTCGTATCGTAACTCGCAAGCCCCAGCAGCTCGAGACCTTCCAGCCAAGGGTTGTTCTCAAAGCTGCAAAACACAACAAACAAGTTGCTAAACCTTCAAAACCAGGGAGAAAGAAGATCGAGAGCAGAAAATTATGAAGAGAAACACGGGACTGTAAACTCACAAAAACGTAATATAGCTTATTTCATATTCACCCAACATCAAAATCCATTATTTCATATCTATTCATGCTAACTTAAAAGACATGTAAAATAGAATAATAATCTTGAAGCTTTAATAAACATAAAAATGTAGACCATTTAGTACAATCCAATAAATGACATCCATAAATGTATATGATCCACAGAACACCCGCATCACACATAACCTGCATCCATAAATGTATATATAACATGCCCAAGTGGTCGTAATTTCAAGATTTCAAGAAAAACAAACAAATATATCAAAGACATTATATCTGATGAACAATTTTACAAATCTTGTTCAATGGGATGTGCTTGAATGGACAAGTAGTAGGAATTGTACCATATAAGTTGTTATTTGAAACATCTCTGCAGAAAAAGAAAAAGGAAAAAAAAAAAAAAGAGCATATATTAGTGACCTAACAACACCAGATATATAACACATAGCATAAAGAAAGCATTAGCGGCATCTTGAGAGAACTTACAGAACTTTCAAGCTAGACATACCAGCTAATGGCCTTGGAATTGGTCCGTGGAGATTATTATCATTTATACGTCTGCCAATTGATAAAGAATGATTGAATGAAACAACCAATTAAAGGCCTTGGAATTGGTCCGTGGAGATTATGCCGCTAAAGGCCTTTACATCAACACAAATAATTCATAATCCAACCAAAAAATGGTTTGCGTAGTTACAACATCATTTTTATTAGTTTGAGTCAGCAAAACATTTTCCAAATTGGTTGTATCGAGTATATCTCATGGGCAGACTCATTTAGCGAACATAACCAAAGCCTACCTCTACTTGTAGTCATGCAGCAAAATAATTTATCCAACTACAGAGCAGTTCTTAAGAATCTATACATGCAGTAAAGTATACGCTTTTTCAGCAAAAACCACTGAATTGACATAATTAAATGTCTGTCGATCCTTGGTATGCCCCACAAGATGAGTATCCCTGGAACTTTTCTTCAAATTTGTATACTTGTATTATCTATACCAAAGTATAGATCCAGAAGGGTGAGAGAGAGTGAAAAAATGAAAATGGTGACCACCTTGGCCGTGAAGAATCTGGAGATACTTGCGGTGAGACGAAAAGGTTGTCTTGCATCAAGTTCGATCTCAGCAGCTCTGCGGTCAGCCATAATCTTGTCCTCCATAATCTTGTCCTGCTTCCCTATCCTGCGATAATCACTGCAATCAACGCACATTTAGAGACGGTGGGCCTTCTCAGCAACTGTCGTCTTCTTCTCCTCGACTAGCTTCTTTTCGGCTGGCTACTTGTCTACCTTAGGTGCCATTGCAGAGAAGGTGGATTGGTTGATAGGGGATTGGAAATACTTTCTGCTATTCTAAGCTTTGGTGGAATTTGTAAGAAATTTAAGAACAAGAACAATTTAATTCATATGTTAAATGTTAAGGTTGTGATGATAAATTTTTGTATTTGAAGGATTGCTAAACAAATAATATAAATCTAAGGTTTTTAAAATAAATACAAGATCATTTTATAAGTTATTAATTTAAATTTGAATTTTTAATGATATAAGGGTATTATATCATTAATGGTTGATATTGATTTTTGAGTCAATCTAACGGTGATATAAAGGGATTCCTGATGTTAGGTAGGTACGATGGGTACCTGACCATAGACTATCCCAACTCTAAATATGTTGTGCTTATGATTAAATTCTTAAGTATTCGAACTCGCACATGTTCTCCATCAAATCCAACAGTTTCACCGAGTGCGGTGCTGACGTGTCCCAAGAACCAGTCCCAACTCCGAGTTAACCGTGTTCCATGTCAACAGTCGGATCGATCCGAGTAAAAAAAAAAAACATTGGTCTCCACATCTTTAGCATTGCCAAATTTTAATTTATATTCTCTACACTTATCATGTCCACATTCTTCCACAATTATCAATTTAGTACAATAATTTATATATTATTCGTAATCTTCAAACATCAACTTGGTACGATATTACATTATCTGGATAATTCCTAATCTTTAACCATGTCTTCCACAGTTAACAACAATTCACTACGATAATTTGAGAATGAATAATTTATATATTATCAAGAAAAATCATTTTCTTTTACATTGTATTATGTATATACATTGGCAACGACAATCATGCAACCAAGTAGTTGTAATTTGTAAATCTTGAATTTTGGACATTAACGGCATATATTTTAATGTGTGGAAGACTTATAAATAGTTCCAATCCAACTATAATCCAAAACAATGGGAGGGTTTTACATGCTCAATTAAAGGAATCAAAACATAAGCCTCAGGATGGAGAGTGAGTTTTCCAAACTAAATTCAAAATCCAAGACATACATTATAAAGAGTGACATATCGAGTTTTCCAAACTAAATTCAAAATCCAAGACATACATTATAAAGAGTGACATATCATAAACAGTAACTTCCCTTGGTTACTTATGTTGATACCAAAATGTAACACCCCGCCTTCTAAAACTTGACTTGTAAAAAAATTAAAGTTAAATTTTTGCCTTTTATTTTCAAAAAACGTGAACTTTATTTTCGAAAATACTATAATTGTCTTGCAGGATGTTACTAAACTTACTATTCTTATCTCTTTCTCATTCAGACATAATTAATACATGCAACCGAATCAAATCCATTTAATAAAGGTACCATGGAGATAAGGGTATACACATGCATAAGTCTGAAGTTCTCATAATCTCATACTAGGTCTGAAAATGCGGAAGCTAAAGCATAATAAGCACACGCATAGTTAAAACTACATGTTCATAATACATGACATAAAATGCATGTCAAAATGTCCACTGAGCTCACTCGACTCTAGAGCTTCCCTTCGATAGAAACTGCTTTTGCCTCCGAGCTAGCCTCGACCTTGCCTCCCTCTGCCATTTGAATCATACTTCTTTTGTTTCATTTGCTTCCCAGCTTCCCTTGATTCTTCTGTTGCATTTGCTCCTGAGCTTCCCTTAGATACTTCTGTTGCCTTAGCTTCCGAGCAAACGATTTATAGATAGAGATGTTGAAACTCCAAAAACTATCAGTCTCCACTCTACCTCGAAAATGCATAACCTAATTTATCAATGAAAAATATTATTTAAAAATAATCAATAACTATTTATTAATAATATTAAAATAGGAGAATTAGAATTAACAAACCCATTGTTGCAAGTCTTTAATGATTTTTGTCAATATAGAATGTCGTTCAAGGATTGGGAGATGTGCAAACAAGTCTATTCCTGAATGATAACAAAAAGCAATATATTTATTTACTAAAGTTTAATGACATAAGAAAATATGAACATTTATGCACTATATATAATTTTACCCACCAAAACGATCTCCTTATAGATACCATTTCAACACAAAACTCCTGTGATGAAGAACAACTCTTTCATAAACGGGATGATATCACGAACTGTGTGCGTATGGTATACAACTTCTGAAAGAAGATCCTCAACGAACAGCTCCTCTAGGCACTAAACATAAGCATATACATAATTAAGTTGCATTAAATAATAGATCATATATTCATCACTGTACAAGCTTCCATCTTCTATATGATGAATTTAGTAACATAAAAGATATTTCACCTTAATTTGTCATTTTAAATGGGCTTTCGAAATTAAAAGATCCACATTTATACCCTTCTCCAATGCTTCGTGCTCATCTCCAATTTTTAAAATTTGATCAAATAATGTATGTGTCACATCTCGAACTCTAGAAGGCTTATAATAGAACTTCTACAGAAGGGATTTAGCCAAAAAAAAAGTCAAAAACTCAAACAACATATTTAAAACTAACTCAAAAAATAATTCCAAGAAATAAAAGGCAGTAATTTTAAACAATCCAAAAATTTTAAAATGATTGAGCTCTAACTTTGCGCACAAAGTATTTAACCTAAATACCAGATTGATATTTTTAAGTTTAGTAAAATTCGTTCTAGAAGAACTAATTTAATTTATCTTACACCACGGTTGTCTATATCAAAACGTATGTACTCTGCTACACATAATAAATCCTCCTCATCAACTCTATTGACCTCAAAACCAGGAATGATACCACTCTCAGCTATCAGTTTTTGGATTTCAATTTGTTTGTCTCGTAACTTATTTTCTTCACGTATAAATCGAACACCTAACTTCTGAGAAATAAAGAAAAATATTAGACAAAATGAAATAACGTCAGTACTACCCATAAAAGAGAATTACACCTCACTCTCTTCTTTCTTCTTTGAGCAAAATCCTGAACCTGTGGAGTGTGCGTGCTAACCAGTCATACGCTAATGAAAGATAGAAACAATGATCAACTGTATGTGAGGTGTGATCACTGCTTCCATCTCTCATACAGTTGATCACTGCTTTTATCTTTCATTAGCGTGTGACTGGTCACCACGCACACTCCACAGATTCCGGATTTTACTCAGAGAGTAAGGTGTGATTCTCTTTTATGGCTAGTACTGACATGATTTCATTTTGTTTAATATTTTCCTTTATTTCCCAGGAGTTCAATTTACACTTGAAGAAAATAAGTTACGAGACAAACAAATTGAAATCCAAAAAGTGATAGCTGAGAGTGGTATCATTCCTAATTTTGAGGTCAATAGAGCTGATGAGAAAGATCTATCATGTGTAGCAGAGTGCATACGTTTTGATATCGTCAGCCGTGAGGTAAGATAACTAAATTGGAGATTTTAGAACAAATTTTACTAAGCTTAAAAATATCAATCTGTTATTTAGGTTAATACTTTGTACGCAAAGTTAGACCTCACTCATTTAAAAACTTTTGGATGGTTTAAATTTACAGCCTTTGGTTCCTTTGTTTCTTGGAATTATTTTTTATGAGTTGGTTTTGAATATGTTGTTTGAGTTGTTGACTTTTTTTGCTAAATCTCTTGTGTAGAAATTCTATTATAAGCCTTTTAGAGTTCAAAATGTTGCACATGCATTATTGGATCAAATTTTAGAAATTGAAGATGAGCACGAAGTATTAAAAGCAGATAGAGGTATAGAGGTGGATCCTTCAAATTCAAATTCGAAAGGCCATTTAGAACGAAAAATTAAGGTGAAAAATATTTTATGTTTAGTAAATTCATCATATATAAGATGAAAGCTTGTACAGTGATGATGAATGTATAATCTTTTATTTAATAGAATTAAATTATGTATATGCTTATGTTTAGTACCTAGAACAACTGCCTGTTGAGGAACTTTTTTCAGAAGTTGAAGATATCATACGCACAATTTGTGATATCATCACGTTTATGACAGAGTTGCCGTTCATTACGATGTTCATCACATAAGTTTGTGATGAAATGGTATCTATATAAGGAGATCGTTTTGGCGAGTAAACTTATATATAGTGCATACAAGCTCATATTTTTTATGTCATTAAACTGTAATAAATAAATATATTGCTTGTTATCATTTAGAAATACAGAGGCTTCTATGTACATCTCTCAATCCCTAAACGACATTCTATATTGACAAAAACCATTGGAGACTTGGAACAATGATTTGTTGATTCTAATTGTTCTACATATTATTAATAAATAGTTATTTATTATTTCGAAATGATATTTTTCATCGATGAATTAGGTTATGCATTTTCGAGGTAGAATGGGGACTGATAGATGTTGGAGTTTTAGCATCTCTATCTATAAATCGTTTGCTCGAAAGCCAAGGAAACAAAAATATCCGGGAGCAAATGCAACATAAGAATCCAAGGAAAGCTGGGAAGGAAATGCAACAGAAGAAGTATGCGACAAAAGGATGCAAGGGCTGAGCGGGAGCGAATGGCAAGGCTAGCTCCGAGGCAAAAGCTGAAACTATCGAAGGGAAGCTCTAGAGTTGAGACAACATAAGTAACCAAAGGAAGTTACTGTTTATGATATGTCCTTCTTTATGATATATCATGTCTTGAATTTTGGATTTAGTTTGGAAAACTCACTCTCCAAGGCTTATGTTTTGATTCCTTTAATTGGGCATGTAAAACCCTCCCATTGTTTGGATTCCTTTAAGAGAAGGAAAAAAGGAAGTGAAATGTGAAATAGTTGGATTGGAACTATTTATAAGTCTTCCACACATTAAATTATATGTCATTAATGTCCAAAATTCATATTTGCTAGCTATATATTGCACCTCACATTATAAGTCATACTCTACTTTTTCGAGAAGCCTGACACAGTTTGTTCTACCTCAATTAAACCTGACACCCACCACGAAAATTAGAGGAACAAGAGAAAAATGTTATTCTGCGAACAGGGAAAAAATCCAAACAAGGAAAGAGTAAATAAAAAAAAAGTATACCAAATGGACCAATCTGCAAGTCTTCCATGAAATCCGCAACATCTACAATTTCAGAGTGAAGAAAAAAAAATATTAACAAGACCAAGACCAATGAAATCAAACCGACATACAAAATTATTACAATGGCAGATGATGTTAGACCTAGGGCAAGACTGCAAGAAATTAGGGCAAGAGCGGTGACGACGAGTGAGACCGCCGTGAGAGCTCGACTGTAAACGAGAGGGGTCAAGGAGAAGAGAGACTGGTGACTTGCCAAGAAAGATTTTGGAAGTGCTACCTGGTTAGAGAGACGACGGGCTGCGTGAGTTCTTGAGAGCAAGAGGCAGAGACGACGAGCTATGTAAGTTCTTGAGAGTGAAATTGAATGAAAAGCTAGGGAAAGAGTTTTTAATTGTTAATTGTTATACTTATTACTTTGGGCTAAGTTATTGTTAATTGTTATTGTAATTAAGTAAACGGCCCAACCAAAAGGCCAAAGACCCAAAACTAAAAGTGTGACTCCCTTCGGGCTGGGCAGTACAAATAAATTGATATAGAAACATATTGTTGTTTTCTTGTTCTTTATACTAGAAAATCTACGACTGTGTTAAACACAGCCGGCCCATATGATTTTAATTTTTTTTTATTTTAATTTTTATGAAGAATGAATATTTTATTTTATAATATTAAAAATAGTTATATAATCAAACATAGTTGTTTTTTATGATTTTAATTTTTTAAGCCATATTATTAATCTTTACCCTTTAGGTCCCTAACATTGATGTACATCCACTTCTTTGCATTGTTTAATACTTACCATCTTCACAAGTGTACACATTCTTTTAAGTGATGTTTAATGCTTACCCTTTATATCTGTGTGAGATTCAAATAGATAGATATAAAGCAAGTAAGTATTAAACATTGCAACGAAGTGTATACTTATGAAGATGGTAAGAACATACCCAACCGAAAAAATCTGCAGGCACAACCTAATGTAACATTTCATACTTTTCGTCGGGTTGCTCAAGGAGACCGAGTCCACCGGCTGGTGATGGATTTGTGGTCTGTACTCGGTTGCCAAAGCATGTGTGTGTGCTTGAAACGGTGGCAGGCTCTTACGCAGGGCTTGACCTTGGCAAAGGACGCCAACCAAGTGTGACATCAAGTGTGTTCTCCTGGTCGAACTTGATGGTAGACTCGTCAGGCACGAAATCCATTGCAGACTCCTCTAGCACTAATCTAGTTCTAATAAACCCTGCATTTTCACAAAAACAATACTCAGCAAAGTGATATGTTGAGTCGTTGATAACTATACATATCAGGATGGAAAAAACACGATTTGAGAATGCATTAATTGTTCCATTAAGCAAGCACGACCTGAATGTCATATTACCATAAAAAATAAACTAATAAATAACTTGTTAAGACCATCCCACTAACGTAATAACATACTACAAGTAATAATATTAAGGTCATCCATAAAAACCAAATGCCACACCAAAAACTTAAAGATACATACCAGGGAAAAAAAATAACAACAATAAAAGTAGTTTATCAAATACTGATTACACACCATTACCATAAAAATCTAACTAAAAATAAAAAATATAACTATGCACACCAATTCAGAGCGGATGAACCTGAAAGTTGAATGATTCTTGTACAATGTGGTTCAGATCTAAAGTTTTCTATATGTAAAGAAAATACTGTTTTTTCAAGCTGGGCGTCCCAATCTAAAGATTTTTTCAACAACCCACAAAATCATAAATAAAGCAGGACACACCCAACTGAGCACAGAGGGTAGAAAATAATATTTCTTTGAACAAAAAAAAAAAGTAGATATATTTGCAAGTAAAAAAGATTGATTGAGATTGAATGGAAAAAACCAACACGATAAAATCATCACTGGGTCCATAACCCGACGTTGTGAAAGCTCTTTGAAGGGTCGGCGGCGACATCCTCCAGGATCTTCTTATAAGAAGGAACTACGAAGACACAAAAAGATAGTTAAGTGTACTGTGTACACATTGGGTTATGTCTAGCCACAACATGATATTTCATAACCAACACATATAATTAATAATAGTACCAATTAGTGTATAAGAATGTACCTCTAAGAACCAGTCGAAGAAAAGTGGCTTGCCAAAAAGATCCAAAACTGCACCTTTTGCAATAGGCATATTTCACATCTTTCCTCCACTCAGGAAATTCGTAAGGAGGTTGCTTGCATTGTCCAATAAGTTCATCGTTTTAGCCGTTTTGGTCTCATCGTTACCCGTAGATGATTGACACCTGTATGTAGTAGAAAGTATCATCACCGCGAAACTTCAGGCAATGCCCCATCAAATTTCATCAGAAACGTCAATTATTCAAACTTATACATGTTTGTGTGTGTGTGAGTGCATACTGCCCTTACCCACGACTTTTTGCTGAACTTATCACAAACCAAATCCACATTATTTCCATCTCAAAGAAGAATTTCACTAACTTATTCAGCAGCAAGAAGAATGAAACAAAAGCCTAATTATTGGAATTAGAACCACACCTTCATTGACTAATCAAGAAAACCCACTGCAGGAAAATAAAAACTCACCACCATGTTGTGCCAGAAATTCTCTTCTCAATTTCATCGCCCCAACTTTAGAAGCGAAGCGAAGTGAAGTCAAGAATATAGTCGAGCCTCTTCGCCCATGGCAATTGCACAACAACAATTATTCCGTTCATTTCAAAGTACCCAACTAAAAATTTCAATTTCACCACTAAAAATAAATCACGCTTCAACATAATTCACCTGATTGAAGAAACCCTCTTCGGCTTGCAGCTCAACAGTGAAGAAACTCCTCTGCCGTCGAAGCATCCCTGACCAGATCCACCTGCAAAAAGGTCCATCGAAAAAAAAAAATTACACAAAATGTCACACTTTATACTGAAGATAGAAAAATAGAAATATAAGCAGCTCTAGTCTTTGGCGACCAACAAACCCTATGGAAAGTAGACGCCATGGGCTAGCAGACTACATCATACGTCAGTTGCAAGGGCGCTCGTTGGTCTCCATTATCGGGCCGCAGCAGACCCTCTCCGTCATCGTTCTGCGACCCTGACGCCACCTGCGTCGCCGCCTCCGCACGCCAACAACGCCGTTAGATCCGTCTGTGTCGCCTCTGCCCCTTTCGTCTTTAAGGGTTGCAGAATTTTGGTCGGGGAGGAGATGATAGAAAGAGATACAAGGCAGATCTGATTTTTTGGTCAAAGATATAAAAAGAGATTTTGGGAGATTTTGTGAGATTTTGGGAGAGAACGTACATACTCTGACACACGCTATCAGAAAAGTTGTCTTTTTAACACACACAAATGACCAATTGAGCCTTAGAAAGCAGCCCAGACAAAAAAAAAACAAAGGTCATTTGAGTAAAAAGATATAAAATGAATTTGACTGCAGCTGTATTTGCCTATTTGGTGCAAAGAGGGAAGTAAGCGTAAAAAGAGGGTCAATACAGGGGCACCATGGTCATCCGAAAAACGCCACGTGTTAACCTTAAAATGTCTCACATTTTTTTTTATATGTATAGGAAAGAAAGAGAAGGTATATTTTGTCTTGGATGAACTTGAAAGTGACCGGCAACAATGTGAGGTTCAAATAAAAGGAGTTGAGATGAGATGAGAGGTTATTGAAATTGAAAGTTTGAGTTTTTGTATGGATGATGAAAGGAATGCGTGTAGAAGAAATTAGGAAAGGGGTAAATGGTAATAAGTTTCATGCTCTCCATGTTCATGGTGATGTTTTGTTCTGCAGCTTCCTTTTTTCTGTATAATGTAAATTTTGTTGGCATGTTTCCATGTGACAAAGTGTTGGAATTGTATATTGTGTTTCATAATTGTGGTTCTTGTGTATTTTGTCATGAAGTTTGTTAGAATATCACTTGTGAGTTGTCCCACATCGTTCATATATAAAAAATAGACCCACCTTATAAGACTAATGGGTTACTCATCCTTCCACCAATTGGTTTTGGGATGGAACCCCATTTGGGCTTTATATGGGCTTTTTCCTTCTTTCATGGTGTCCTTCATGGTAGTGGGCCAGCACCGGTTTTCCCCCAGTTTCTTTCATGGTATCAGAGCCCGGTTTTACCGTGTGATGACGTACCCATTGTTTATCCCCCACGTACCCGTTTATGGGAGTCTGTTTGTAGTAGGGCTTGGGGCACCCAACCCCACGTACCCGTTTATGGGAGCCTGTTTGTAGTAGGGCTTGGGGCACCCAACCCAGTTGGGTTTGGACTTTCGAAGGACTCACATGTGAGGGCCAACCTAGTTGGGTTTGGACTTTCGAAGGACTCACAAGTGAGATCGTTCATATATAGAAAATAGACCCACCTTATAAGACTAATGGGCTACTCCTCCTTCCACCAATTGGTTTTGGGATGGAACCCCATTTGGGCTTCATATGGGTTTTTCCCTTCTTTCATGGTGTCCTTCCCACACGTACCCGTTTATGGGAGCCTGTTTGTAGTAGGGCTTGGGGCACCCAACCCAGTTGGGTTTGGGCTTTCAAAGGACTCACAAGTGAGGGGGCGTGTTAGAATATCACTTGTGAGTTGTCCCACATCGTTCATATATGGAAAATAGACCCACCTTATAAGACTAATGGGCTACTCCTCCTTCCACTAATTGGTTTTGGGATGGAACCTCATTTGGGCTTCATATGGGCTTTTCCCTTCTTTCATGGTGTCCTTCATGGTAGTGGGCCAGCACCGGTTTTCCTCCAGTTTCTTTCAGAGTTTATTGCCTTGTTGGCTGTTGCGGTTTGTAAATTCATGTCAAGATTTCTACTTTCTTTATTAGTCTTTATGGAACATATTAAAGAATGAGGAGTTTGCTTATTTCATTTGCTATATCTAGATTTCACCACATATGATTGTAGTTGGTTCCATTGTAAAATAAGTGGAAAAATACATATAAAAAGTCGAGAAACTGATGCCTTTTTCTTCAAAAAGAAAATAAAATTGACAGTATTTTTCTAATTTTTAAAGAAGAAATTGACAGTATTATTTTCTTCTTTTCCTCTCCATAGTTTCCTAGACATGGAATTGATGCAATTATTGCACAAAATGAAAAAGAATGCATAAGAATCCCTTTTTTGAAATATTAATTTGTTTCTTTTCTCTCTTTTTAATTTGTTCACATTGATTTAAGGCATGAACTACATATGATATACCACTTATCCACAGGACCACAAGTTTTAGCAGAGAGCCTTAAAAGTGATCACTAGGTCATATAACATCCCTTATATGGTACTCATATAACTACATAATATTCTAAACAATTTTTCCTTTTTGAAAAAATAACATCCCTGCTTTAGTCTTTTATGACTCACATGACCAAGAAGTAATCATGATGTAAAGTGTAAACAAGTCATGGCGTCAATGACATTAGAGCGCACATTCGAGGAATTTTCTTTTGTTGACTCAGACTAAGTTTTTGCTTGTCATACTTATTTATCCTTTTTCTATTCATATTATTTATGAATAATGTGATTGCAACTGATATGACTGATTCCAATTTCAATATTTGCTTGTGTTATACGTGGATTCAACAAACTATTAATCTCTCAAGATTTAGAATGTGTATTAGACCGGATTTAAGTCAAGAGAGACAAGAAATCGGTAAAAAGGAATTTGTTCCGAGGAGATCGGTAGATAAGTAGAAGTGTGAATTTATTCTAAGTCAGATTAGCTAATCAAATTCGAGCACCAACTTATATACAGCGTATAAAAATTAGGAAAACATTTCATTCTAATAGTATAGTATAGTCATGGAGTTGGTCATTAAATCAACAAATTCTCGCACGGGGCAACGAATGTGTGAGTGTGTGTTATCCAATGTAGGATCAAATCTCTTAAAATTAGGATCATATTTCATATGTTTGATCTTTTTTTTAAAAAAATCTTGAAATTTAAAAAAAAAATGTAAAAAATAAAGTAGAAATCCACGTATGTTCTTACCCGGACTTTTGGTGGACTTATATTACTTCACAAATATTGGTAAGGTGGTGTTTATTATTTCTAATTTTCTCAATGGTGGGCTCTAGTTTCCTTTGTGATTTGACACAGTTTTGATATTTTAGTAGTTATAGAACTTGATCTACATAATAATTGACCTCCATCGTAGGCTACGTTTGGTAGACAAATAAGCTAGCTTATAGCTTATTTGGTTAGCTTATAAGCTCTCTGTTTTCAAATAAACTCCGTTTGGTAGGACGAGCTTTTTTAAAAAGCTTGAGCTTATTTGATAAGCTTGTTTGGGTAGCTTTTCAAATAAGCTCGTTGAAAATTTTATTTCAGCTAGCTTATTAGCTAATTTTACCAAACACTTTTATCATATAAGATAGTTTTTCAGCTATAAGTCATAAGCTATAAGCTGCTATGTTTGGTACGCGAATAAGGGCTATGTTTGGTAAAACTAGCTGATAAGCTAGCTTATAGCTTATCAGTAATTTTTTGCTGCTATGTTTGGTACGCGAATAAGGGCTATGTTTGGGCTATGTTTGGTAAAACTAACTGATAAGCTAGCTTATAGCTTATCAGTAATTTTTTAGCTTATGAGTTATAGCTGAAAAGCTAGCTTATATGATCAAAGTGTTTGATAAAATTAGCTGATAAGCTAGCTGGAATAAAAAATTCAACTAGCTTATTTGAAAAGCTACCTAAAGAAGCTTATCAAATAAGCTCGAGCTTTTTAAATAAGCTCGTCCTACCAAACAAGACTTATTTTAATACAGGAAGCTTATAAGCTAATCAAATAAGCTATAAGCTAACTTATTTGGTTTACCAAACATAGCCCACTTATAGCTTATTTGGTTAGCTTATAAGCTCTCCGTTTTCAAATAATCTCTGTTTCGTAAGACGAGATTTTTTAAAAAGCTCGAGCTTCTTTGATAACTTTGGGTAGTTTTTCAAATAAACTCGTTGAAATTTTTATTTCAGCTAACTTATCAGCTAATTTTACCAAACATTTTATCATATAAGTTAGTTTTTCAGCTATAAGTCATAAGCTATAAGCTATAAGCTCAAAAATTACTGATAAGCTATAAGCTAGCTTATCAGTTAGTTTTACCAAAAATTGTAAGTTCAAAAATTACTGATTAGCTATAAGCTAACTTATCAGTTATCAGTTAGTTTTACCAAACAAAGCCATAAACAGCAAAATATATGAGTGCGTGGTCCCATACTCCCTATTTATGTGTAGAAGAAAATAATTGCTCAAACTAATTTTTCATAAATTAATTTATTCAACTATAAATCAAATCATATTTAACTTGTGAAACAAATACAATAAAATTAACATTCGCAACCTAACCTTTGAGAGAATTGAAGAAAATACCGATAATATTGTGCTCTTTAACTTCAAGTTCCATGCTTCTTAAAATCAGACTTCTTGATTATTTGATAATTATTAGTACATTTAGAAAAAGAAAAAATAGTCTTTCATTTATAGAGTTTCTATTTACTAGTATAGACACAAAAATCATTGTTGGGCTTAGACATGGGCTTATAACTGGGTTTGTTCTTGCTTTTGGGCTCACCCTTTGCTAATGACGGACATTGAGACAGGGCTCGAGCGTTGAGGGTAAACGGACTACTGAAATAGTGAGGATTTTGGGATGGGCTTACTTTGATTTGGGCTGTATGTTAGCAACCATTGATTGTCAAGACAGTTGATGGACCGAAGATTATCGAGTTCATGTCATGATATGGTACTCATATATGGGCTAGTCTCGAAGTAATATGTGAAAAGTACATGTTTTTGTCACTTCGAATTTTTTCATCTTAAGATTCTGATTATAAGATTTTACATATCGATAACAAATAGTTTGCGTCTATTTATTTAGTTTTTAAAAAAAACAAATCAAGTATTATCGTCAAAGTGATAAATGATTAAAAAATAGTCATTCTACCATAAATAGAGTATTTAAATAAGGAGAAAATCAATAGAATTGTTAAAAAATATAATAGATAATTAAACTTCATAGTTAAAGTGTACGCAAAAATAGACAAACTACCTTAGTTAGAGTAACTAAGTTAATAAAACAATCAATATAATATAAATGTTTAATAAATAATAGATAACTTAGGAAACTTATAATTGTTCGATAAAAAGATTATGCTTTTTTTAGAACATCATATTGTATTGGTTCTACATAAAAATTGACATACAAGGAATACAAAAAGATATTATTCAACATAAGTGAAAATAAATTTGTTCAACTGATGTGTTAGTAAGAAAAGAGACATACTTTATTTTTCAGTTTATGATTTTTGCTATTTTTACTCAATTTTATTCACGTCATCAAAAATTGTATATTCAATTTATGTGGCACGATAAGTAAAATTGGACCAAAAGTATTGTTGATGTTGTTAATCTTTTAAAGATTAGCTTTTTGTGTGTGTGTGTGTGTGAGTGTGTGTGATGGAGTAACACTTTATTTCAGTTTTTAGCAAATGTTACTCAAGATTGGTGATAATACGCCAAGAAAAGGAGGGCAAAACAAGAATCAAATATAAAAAGAAAAGAAAAAGAAATAAATAGCTTTACCACAAATTGAAGAGCAAAGAACAAAAGTGAATGTTTCCGAAAGTAGGATCAAAAGGGTAGGCAATATATTACCACATATGGCCTAATCATCTCTTAAAGCTTCTTTAAATCCAAAAGCACAAACATTAAAAATACTTAGGAAGGAGAAGGGAAAAAAAAAAAAAAGGCACCACCCGGCACACAAGACTTAGAGCAAAGTCCGATATCTGTTTTCCGGGAAAGTGCATCAATAGCAGTTCGTATCGTAACTCGCAAGCCCCAGCAGCTCGAGACCTTCCAGCCAAGGGTTGTTCTCAAAGCTGCAAAACACAACAAACAAGTTGCTAAACCTTCAAAACCAGGGAGAAAGAAGATCGAGGGCAGAAAATTATGAAGAGAAACACGGGACTGTAAACTCACAAAAACGTAATATTGCTCATTCCATACTCACCCAACATCAAAATCCATTATTTCATATCTATTCACGCTAACTTAAAAGACATGTAAATTAGAATATAATAGAATAATAATCCCGAAGCTTTTATAAACATAAAAATGTAGACCATTTCCAATAAATGACATCCATAAATGTATATGATCCACAGAACACCCGCATCGCACATAACCTGCATCCATAAATGTATATATAACATGCCCAAGTGGTCGTAATTTCAAGATTTCAAGAATAACAAACCAATATATCAAAGACATGATATCTGATGAACAATTTTACAAATCTTGTTCAATGGGATGTGCTCGAATGGACAAGTAGTAGGAATTGTACCATATAAGTTGTTATTTGAAACATCTCTGCAGAAAAAGAAAAAGGAAAAAAAAGAGAGCATATATTAGTGACCTAACAACACGAGATATATAACACATAGCATAAGGAAAGCATTAGCAGCATTTTGAGAGAAGTTACAGAACTTTCAAGCTAGACATACCAGCTAATGGCCTGGAATTGGTCCGTGCAGATTATTAACATTTATACGTCTACCAAATTGATAAAGAATTATTGAATGAAACACCCAACTAAAGGCCTTGGAATTGGTCAGTGGAGATTATGCCAGCTAAAGGCCTTTACATCAACACAAATAATTCATAATCACCAAACAACCAACCAAAAAATGGTTTGCGTAGTTACTACATCATTTTTATTAGTTCAAGTCAGCAAAACATTTTTCAAATTGGTTGTGTCGAGTATATATCATGGGCAGACTCATTTAGCGAACATAGTCCAAACCTACCTCTACTTGTAGTTTACCCCATACCTAATTTCAGACCTCATTCTTATATCACCATGTGTTGCAGTTTTTTCTTGTGATCAGAACAACACTAAGGTCAATGGTCATGCAGCAAAATAATTTATCCAACTACAGAGCAGTTCTTAAGAATCTATACATACAATAAAGTATACGCCTTTTCAGCAAAAACCACTGAATAAATTGTCATCATTAAATGTATGTCGATCCTTGGTATGCCCCCACAAGATGAGTATCCCTGAAACTTTTCTTTAAATTTGTAATACTTGTATTATCTATACCAAAGTACAGATCCAGAAGGGTGAGAGAGAGTGAAAAAGTGAAAATGGTGACCACCTTGGCCGTGAAGAATCTGGAGATACTTGCGGTGAGACGAGAAGGTTGTCTTGCATCAAGTTCGTAATTGTAATTTTCTCCTTTGTTTTCTCTTACAAGATTCTTTGTCATTTACTTGTGTTACGGCCAGATCCTTTGTTTTCTCTTACAAGACATTATGATTTTCTAGCTCCCTAGGTTATGTCCATGATATAAGCAATCCTTTTCTTTTTTGTTTGATTGTGGGGTTAATAATTTTTTTTTTTTGTTAAGCTCAGTCTCTTGTGAAATAATGTTTACCCCTTTACTTTATATTAGCTTTCCAAGAATGTTGATCAGAGTATGTAAGTCATTTATCTGGAACTTTTTTTTTCATGCTCTTTCAGAACCGAAGTGATTGACGGTTAGTGACTTAATATAGTTGCTCGTGATTATTATTTGTTGGTTATATCTAAAGCCGAACTTCTACATTTATCCCCTTCCATAATATTTCTTAAGCATGTCATGAAAAGGTCGATTACTGGAAGCCACATGAAATACTAAACGTTTGGTCGGCCAACATATTTCCACCCAACTATAGTTTTCGTAACGTATGCTCCTGCGATGAGTGTAGCACCATGATTGACGAACTCAACGACTTCGCTGAGAGCACAAGATCCTTAGAGTGTAATGGTATATATACAGAAAAACTTTTACACGTGTAACAGGTATTAATGGTATATTCACCTTTTTATTGACTCTAACTTTTCGTTTATGTAAAAAAGACATTACATCATTTCTCTCCCATACAGTTGATCACTGCTTCTACCTTTCATTAGCGTGTGACTAGTCAGCACGCGCACTCCACAAGTTTCGGATATTGCTCAAAGAAGAGAGTGAGGTGTAATTCTCTTTTATGGCTAGTACTGACATGATTTTATTTTCTCTAATCTTTTCCTTTGTTCCCACAAGCTAGGAGTTCGATTTACACTTGAAGAAAATAAGTTACGAGACAAATAAATTGAAATCCGAGAAGTGATAGCTGAGAGTGGTATCGTTCCTAATTTTGAGGTCAATAGAGCTGATGAGAAAGATCCATCATGTGTAGCAGAGTGCATACGGTTTGATATCGGCAGCCGTAGGTAAGATAACTAAATTGGAGATTTTAGAACAAATTTACTAAGCTTAAAAATATCAATCTGGTATTTAGGTTAATACTTTGTGCGCAAAGTTAGAGCTCAATCATTTAAAAACATTTGGATTGTATAAATATAATGCCTTTGGTTCTTGGATTTATTTTATTTAGTTAGTTTTGAATATATTGTTTGAGTTTTTGACTTTTTTGGCTAAATCCCTTTTGTAGAAGTTCTATTATAAGCCTTCTAGAGTTCGGGATGTGACACATGCATTATTAGATCAAATTTTAGAAATTAAAGATGAGCACGAAGCACTATAGAATGGTATAGAGGTGGATCCTTCAATTTCGAAAGGCGATTTAGAACGACAAATTAAGGTGAAAAATCTTTTATGTTTAGTAAATTCATCATATATAAAATGAAAGCTTGTAAACTATGATCTTTTATATAATATAATTATGTATATGTCCATGTTTAGTGCCTAGAGCAACTGCCTGTTGAGGAACTTTTTTCAGAAGTTGTAGATACCATACGCACAGTTCGTGATATCATATCGTATATGGCAGAGTTGCCGTTCATCAGGATGTTCATCACAGAAGTTTGTGATGAAATGGTATCTATAAGAAGATCGTTTTGACGGGTAAAATTATATATAGTGCATAGAGGCTCATATTTTTTTTGTCATTAAACTGTAATAAATAAATAAATCGATTGTTATCATTCAGGAATACAGAGACTTGTATGCACATCTCTCAATCCTTGAACGACATTCTATATTGATAAAAAACCATTACAGACTTGCAACAATAGGTTTGTTGATTCTAATTCTTCTATTTTAATGGTATTAATAAATAGTATTAATTATTTCTAAATGATATTTTTCATTGATGAAATAGGTTATGCATTTTCGAGGTAGAGTGGGGGCTGATAGGTGTTGGAGTTCCTGCATTTCTATCTATAAATCGAATAATCAATAAAATAGTAGAATTGGAATCATTTAGAAATGCATAACCTATTTCAAAATATCATTTAGAAATAATCAATAACTATTTATTAATATCGTTAAAATAGTAGAATTGGAATCAACAAACTGATTGTTGCAACTCTCTAATAGTTTTTGTCAATATAGAATCCCGTTGAGGGATTGGGAGATGTGCATAAAAAAAAAATGACATAAAAAAATGAGTCTGTATGCACTACATATAATTTTACCCGTCAAAACGATCTCCTTATAGATACCATTTCATCACAAACTCCAGTGATGAACATCCTGATAAACGACTACTCTGCCATATACGGGATAATATCACGAACTGTGCGTATAGTATCTACAACTTTTGAAAAAAGTTACTCAACAGGCACCTACTCTAGGCACTAAACCTAAGCATATACATAACTAAATTATATTAAATAAAAGATCATACATTCATCACTGTACAAACTTTCATATATATGATGAGTTTACTAAACATAAGAGATTTTTCACCTTAATTTTCCGTTCTAAATGGTCTTTCGAAATTAAAGGATCCAACTCTATACCATTCTCTAGTGATTCGTGTTTATCTTCCTTTTTTAAAATTAGATCTAATAATGCATGTGCCACATCCCGAACTCGAGAAAGTTTATAATAGAACTTCTACAAAAGGATTAGCAAAAAAAAAAATAAAAAATTCAAACGATATATTCAAAATTAACTCAGAAAAAATAATTCCAAGAAACAAAGGAACCAAAGGCAATAAATTTAAACCATCCAAAAGTTTCTAAATGATTGAGCTCTAACTTTGCGCACAAAGTATTAACATAAATAACAGATTGATATGTTTAAGCTTAGTAAAATTTATTCTAAAATCTCTAATTTAGTTATCTTACTCAGGGCCCATATCAAACCGTATGCACCATGCTACACATGATGGATCCTTTTCATTAGCTCTATTGACCTCAAAACCAGGAACGATACCACTCTCAGCTATCACTTTTTGGATTTCAATTTATTTGCCTCGTAACTTATTTTCTTCAAGTGTAAATCGAACTCCAAGAGGAGGAAGAAAGGAAAATATTAGACAAAATGAAATCCTCTCAGTACTAGCTATAAAAGACAATCACACCTCACTCTCTCCTTTAAGAAAATTTCAAAACCTGTCAGTCACACGCTAATGAAAGATAGAAGCAGTGATCAACTATATGGGAGAGAAAGAATGTAATGTCTTGTTTACATTAACGAAAAGGTAGAGTCAATAAAAAGATAAATATACCATCAATTTACACGTGTAAAAATTTCTCTCTATATATACCATTACACTCTCAAGTAAGGATCTTATGCTCTCAGCGAAGTGTTGAGCTCGTCAATCATGGTGTTACACTCATTGCAGGAGCACACCTTACGAAAACTATAGTTAGGTGAAAATATGTTGGCCGACCAAACGTTTAGTGTTTCATGTGGCTTTCAGTAGTCGGCTTTTTCATGACACAGCTTAGGAAATATTAGGGAAGGGGATAAATGTAGAAGTTCGGCAAAAAAATGATGTTAACTAAGATTGTATAAACAAATAATGATACAAAGTACTAAAATTATATATAACACTAGAAAATCAAGCAAGACCAAAACAAAAGGTTATTGGTTCCATAACGTAGAAGAAGCAAGCAGGTTTAGATATAACTAACAAATAATAATCACGAACAACTATATTAAGTTGCTAATAGTCAGTCACTTCATTTCTTGTTCACAATTCAAAGGAGAGTGAAAAAAAAAAACTTCCAGATAAATGGCTTACATACTCTGATCAACATTATAAAGTAAATGGTAAACAGTATTGCCAATAGACTGAGCTAAACAAAAAGAAAATTATTAACCTCACAATCAAACAAACAAGAAAATGATTGTTTATATCATGGACATAACCTAGGGAGAGCTAGAAAATTACAGTCTTGTAAGATAAAACAAAGGATCTGGCCGTAGCACAACCAAATAACATATTAAAGCACAAGAAAATTTAACATATGTAAATACTAAAACGACTTAACCAATTAATATTTGCTAGCCACACGTATGTAGTATATTGCATCTCACATTATAAGTCAATACTCTACTTTTTTGAAAAGCCTACCTTCTACGAATTCTGATTCAACTTGCACCGCTTGTGACACAGTTTGTTCTACCTCAATTAAACCTGACACCCACCAGGAAAATTATAGAGGAACAAGAGAGAAATGTTATTCTGCCAACGGGGGAAAAAAATCCAGACAAGGAAAGAGTAATAAAAAAAAAGTGTACCAGATGGACCAACTGCAAGTCTTCCATGCAATCTGCAACATCTACAATTTCAGAGGAAAGACAAAAAATATTAACAAGACCAGTGAAATCAAACCGACATACAAAATTATAAAAATCGCAGATGATGTTAGACCTGGACGAGGAGGCTGACCCAATCCCGACATGGTTCCTAGGAATAAACAGAAAAATGAAATTTCAGAAAGTATGAAAAACTAGGGCAAGACCGCAAGAAATTAGGGCAAGACCGGTGACGACGAGCGACACCGCCGTGAGAGCTCGACTGTAAACGAGAGGGGTGAAGGAGAAGAGAGACAATGGTAAGAAAGGTTTTAGAAGTCCTACCTGGTTAGAGAGACGACGGGCTGCGTGAGTTCTTGAGGGTGAGAGACAGAGAGACAACGGGGAGGGGCTGTGAGATCTTGAGAAGGGCTAAGGGTGTGATTGGAAAATTTCGAGTTTAGCATGTGCGGTTGCAGAGAACAGCACATCCGATTTGAAAGATCGAAAAAAGTAGTCCCAAGAAAAGACAATGGTAATGAATGGTAACAGGTGGGGTTGGTGGTGAGAATAATATTGTGGGCCACATACAAAATTGATATCCAATCAGATACACAACAATGAAATTGAGTCTAAAACTAGTTTTTTACTAGTAAAGTTGATATACAATCGCCTTCTAAGTAATTGTTAATTGTTATTGTAAATAAGTAAACGGCCCAAACAAAAGGGCAAAGGCCCAAAACTAAAAGTGTGTCTCCCTTCGGGGTGGGCCTGCTTGTACTGCTGTACTGTACAAATAAATTGATATGGAGACATATTGTTTTCTTGTTCTTTATATTTTGTCTTGGATGAACTTGAAAGTGAGTGGCAACGATGTGTGGTTCAAATAAAAGGAGTTGAGATGAGATGAGAAGCTATTGAAATTGAAAGTTTGAGTCTTTTGTATGGATGATGCAATGAATGTGTGTAGAAGAAAATAGGAAAGGGGTAATGGTAATAAGTTTCATGATCTCCATGTTCATGGTGATGTTTTGTTCTGCAGCCTCTTTTTTTTTTTTTANTGTATAATGTAAATTTTGTTAGCATGTTTCCATGTGACAAACTGTTGGAATTGTATATTGTGATTCATAATTCTGGTTGTTGTGTATTTTGTCATAGAGTATTGGCTTGTTGCGGTTTGTAAATTCATGTCAAAATTTCTACTTTCCTTATTAGTCTTTATGGAACATTTTCATTTGCTATATCTAGATTTCACCACAGATGATTTTGGTAGTTGGTTCAATTGTAAAAATTAGGAAAACATTTCATTCTAATTGTATAGTGTATTCATGGAGTGTGTCATTAAATCAACAAATTCTCGCATGGGCAACGGATGTGTGAGTGTGTGTTATCCAATGACACTATCCGATGTAGGATCAAACCTCTCAAAATAAGGATCATAATTCATATGTTTGATCATTTTTTTTAAATCTTGAAATTTAAAAAAAAAAATATGTAAAAAATAAGTAGAAATCCACTTATGTTCTTACCAGGACTTTTGGTGGACTTATATTACTTCATAAATATTGGTAAGGTGTTTATTATTTCTAATTTTTTCAATGGTGAGCTCTAGTTTCCTTTGTGATTTGACACAATTTTTATATTTTAATAATTACATAACTTGATCTACATAATAATTGACCTCCAACATAGACAGCAAAATATATGTGTGTGTGGTCCCATACTCCCTATTTATGTGTAGAAAATAATTGCTCAAACTGATTTTTCATAAATCAATTTATTCAACTATAAATAAAATCATATTTAACTTGTGAAACAAATACAATAAAATTAACATTCGCAACCTAATCTTTGAGAGGATTGAAGAAAATACCGATAATATTGTGCTCTTTAACTTCAAGTTCCATGCTTCTTAATCAGACTTCTTGATTATTTGATAATTATTAGTACATTTAAAAGAAGAAAAATTAGTCTTTCATTTATAGAGTTAATACTTACTGGTATAGACACAAAAACCATTGTTGGGCTTAGACATGGGCTTATAACTGGGTTTGTTTCTTGCTTTTGGGCTCACCTTTTGATGATGACGGACATTAAAGACAGGGCTCGAGCGTTGAGAGCAACCATTGATTGTCAAGACAGAGTTGGTGGGCCGAAGATTATCGAGTTCATTTCATGAGATGATATGGTACTCATATATGGGCTAGTCTCGAAGTAAATGTGAAAAGTACACGTTTTTGTCACTTCGAATTTTGTCTTCTTAAAATTCTGATTATAAGATTTTACATATCGATAACAAATAGTTTGTGTCTATTTATTTAGTTTTTTTCAAAAAAAATCAAGTATTATCGTCAAGGTGCTAAGTGATTAAAAAATAGTCATTCTACCACAAATAGAGTATTTAAATAATGAGAAAATCAATAGAATTCTTAAAAAATATAATAGATAAATTAAACTTTATAGTTAAAGTGTACGCAAAAATAGACAAGCTTCCTTAGTTAGAGTAACTAAGTTAATAAAACAATCAATATAATATAAATGTTTAATAAATATAGATAACTTAGGAGACTTTTAATTGTTCAATAAAAAGATTATGCTTTTTTAGAACATCATACTGTATTGGGTCTACTATAAAAATTGACAAACGAGGAATACAAAAAGATATTATTCAATATAAGTGAAAATAAACTTGTCCAATTAATGTTAGTAAGAAAAGAGACATACTTTATTTTTAAATTTATGATTTTTGCTATTTTAACTCAGTTTAATTCATGTCATCAAAATTTGTATATTCAATTTATGTGGCACGCTAAGTAAAATTGGACCAAAAGTCCAAAAGTATTGTCGATGTTGTTAATCTTTTAAAGATTGGCTTTTGTGTGTGTGTGTGTGTGATGGAGTAACACTTTATTTCAGTTTTTAGCAAATGTTACATAGATTGGTGATAATACGCCAAGAAAAGGAGGGCAAAACAAAAATCAAATATAAAAAGAAAAGAAAAAGAAATAAATAGGTTTACCACAAATTGAAGAGCAAAGAACAAAAGTGATAATGTTTCCCAAAGTAGGGTCAAAAGGGTGGGCAATATATTACCACATATGGCCTAATCATCTCTTAAAGCTTCTTTAAATCCAAATGCACAACATTAAACATACTTGGAAAGTAGAAGAAAAAAAAAAAAACACCACCCGGCACAAATGATTTAGAGCAAAGTCCGATATCTGTTTTTCGGCAAAGTGCATCAATAGCAGTTCGTATCATAACTCGCAAGCCCCAGCAGCTCGAGACCTTCCAGCCAAGGGTTGTTGTCAAAGCTGCAAACACAATAAACAAGTTGCTAAACCTTCAAAACCAGGGAGAAAGAAGATCGAGAACAGAAAATTACGAAGTGAAACACGGGACTGTAAACTCACAAAAACGTAATATAGCTTATTTCATATTCACCCAACATCAGAATCCATTATTTCATATCTATTCATGCTAACTTAAAAGAAATGTAAAATAGAATATAGTAGAATAATAATCCCCAAGATTTTATAAACATAAAAATGTAGACCATTTTTAGTACAATCCAATAAATGACATCCTTAATTGTATATGATCCACAGAACACCCGCATCACACATAACTTACATCCATAAATGTATATATAACATGCCCAAGTGGTCGTAATTTCAAGATTTCAAGAATAACAAACCAATATATCAAAGGCATGATATCTAATGAACAACTTTACAAATCTTGTTCAGTAGGATGTGCTCGAATGGACAAGTAGTAGGAATTGTACCATATAAGTTGTTATTAGATACATCTCTGCAGAAAAAGAAAAAGGAAAAAAAAAGCATATATTAGTGACCTAACAACACCAGATATATAACACATAGCATAAGGAAAGCATTATCGGCATCTTGAGAGAACTTACAGAACTTTCAAGCTAGACATACCAGCTAATGGCCTTGGAATTGGTCCGTGGAGATTATGCCAGCTAAAGGCCTTTACATCAACACAAATAATTCATAATCACCAAACAACAACCAAAAAGTGGTTGGCGTAGTTACAACTTCATTTTTATTAGTTTGAGTCAGCAAAACATTTTCCAAATTGGTTGTGTCGAGTATATCTCATGGGCAGACTCATTTAGCGAACATAGCCCAAGCCTACCTCTACTTGTAATCATGCAGCAAAATAATTTATCCAACTACAGAGCAGTTCTTAAGAATCTATATATACAGTAAAGTATACACTTTTTCAGCAAAAACCACTGAATAAATTGACATAATGAAATGTCTGTCGATCCTTGGTATGCCCCACAAGATGAGTATCCCTGGAACATTTCTTCAAATTTGTATACTTATAATATCTATACCAAAGTACAGATCCAGAAGGGTGAGAGAGTGAAAAAATGAAAATGGTGACTAAGTTGGCCGTGAAGAATCTGGAGACACTTGCGGTGAGACGAGAAGGTTGTCTTGCATCAAGTTCGATCTCAGCAGCTCTGCGGTCAGCCATAATCTTGTCCTGCTTCCCTATCCTGCGATAATCACAGCAATCAACGCACATTTAGAGACGGTGGGCCTTCTCAGCTACCGTCGTCTTCTTCTCCTCGACTAGCTTCTTTTCGGCTGGCTACTTGTCTACCTTTGGTGCCATTGCAGAGACGGTGGATTGGCTGATAGGGGATTGGGAATACTTTCTGCAATTCTAAGCTTTGGGGGAATTTGTAAGAAATTTAAGAACAAGAACAATTTAATTCATATATTAAATGTTAAGGTTGTGATGATAAATTTTTGTATTTGATTTTTGAGTCAATCTAATCGTGATATAAAGGGATACCTGATGTTAGATAGGTACGAGGGGTACCTGACCATAGACTATCCCAACTCTAAATCTGTTGTGCTTATGATTAAATTCTTAAGTTTCGAACTCGCACATGTTCTACATCAAATCCAACAGTTTCACCGAGTGCAGGGTTGACGTGTCCCAAGAACCAGTCCCGACTCCAAGTTAACCGTGTTCCATGTCAACCCGTCGAATTGANTGGTTTCCACATCTTTGGCATTGCCAAATTTTAATTTATATTCTCTGCACTTAAACATGTCCACATTCTTCCACAATCATCAGTTTAATACAATAATTTATATATCATTCGTAATCTTCAAACATCAACTTAGTTGATAATTAATAAATTATCTGGATAATTCATAATTCCTAATCTTTAAACATGTCCTCCTTCTTCCATAGTTACAACAATTCACTACGATAATTTGAGAATGAATAATTTATATATTATCAAGAAAATTCATATTCTTTTACATTGTATTATTATATGTATATACATTAGCAACGACAATCATGCAACCAAATAGCTGTAATTTGTAAATCTTGAATTTTGGACATTAACAGAATTTACTGTGTGAAAGACTTATAAATAGTTCCAATCCAACTATTTCACATTTCACTTCTTATTTTCCTTCTCTTAAAGGAATCCAAAACAATGGGACTGTTTTACATGCCCAATTAAAGAAATCAAAGCAAAAGCCTCAAGGTGGAGAGTGAGTTTTCCAGACTAAATCCAAAATCCAGGACATGATATATTATAAAGAGGGACATATCATAAATAGTAACTTCCCTTGGTTACTTATGTTGATATCAAACTGTAATATCTCGCCTTCTCTAACTAGACTTGTACAAAATTCAGAGTTAAATTTTTGTTTTTTATTTTTGAAAAAAGCTAACTTTATTTTCAAAAATACTAAAACTGTCTTACGGGATATTACTAAACTTACTATTCTTATCTCTTTCTCATTCAGACATAATTAATACATACAACCGAATCGAATCCATCTAATAAAGGTACCATGGAGAAAAGGGTATTACACATGCATAAGTCTGAAGCTCTCGTAATCTCATACAAGGTCTGAAAATGCGGAAGCTAAAGCATAATAAACACATGCATAGTTAAAACTACATGTTCATAATACATGACATAAAATGCGTGTCAAATGAGCTCACTCGACTCTAGAGCTTCCCTTCGATAGAAACTGCTTTTGCCTCCGAGCTAGCCTTAACCTTGCCTCTGTCCTTTGTATTTGCTCCCGAGCTTCCCTTGCATCATACTTCTTCTGTTCATTTGCTTGCTTGGATTCTTCTGTTGTATTTGCTCCCGAACTTCCCTCGGATACTTCTGTTGCCTTAACTTCCGAGCAAACGATTTATGGATAGAGATGCTGAAACTCCAAAACTATCAACCTCAACTCTACCTCGAAAATGCATAATCTAATTCATCAATGAAAAATATCATTTAAGAATAATCAATACCTATTTATTAACAAAATAAGAGAATTAGAATCAACAAAGTCTCTAATGGTTTTGGTCAATATAGAATGTCGTTCAGCGATTGAGAGATGTGCATACAAACTCATAATTCTTGAATGATAACAAAAAACAATATACTTATTTATTTCATTTTATTGACATAAGAAAATATCAGTCTGTATGCACTATACAACATAATTTTACCTGCCAAAACGTACCATTTCATCACAAACTTTTGTGATAAACAACATAATTTTACCTGCCAAAACGTACCATTTCATCACAAACTTTTGTGATGAACGGCAACTCTGCCATAATCGGAATGATATCACGAACTGTGTGCGTATGGTATTTACAACTTCTGAAAACTGTGCGTATGGTATTTACAACTCCTCTAGACACTAAACATAGCATATATAAAATTAAGTTACATTAAATAATAGATCACACATTTATTACTGTACAAGCTTTCATCTTATATATGATGAATTTACTACACAAAAGATTTTTCACCTTAATTTGCCTTTCTAAATGAATTTTCGAAATTGAAGGATCCACCTTTATACCCTGCTCACCTTCGATTTCTAAAATTTAATCCAATAATGCATGTGCCACATCCCGAACTCTAGAAAGCTTATAATAGAACTTCTACAGAAGGGATTTAACCAAGAAATTCAAAAACTCAAACAACTAACTAAATAAAAATAATTCCAAAAAACAATGACAGTAAATTTAAACTATCCAAAAGTTTTTAAATGATTGAGGTCTAACTTTGTTCACAAAATATTAACCTAAATACCATATTGATGTTTTTAACCTTAGTAAAATTTGTTTTAAAAGTTTCAATTTAGTTATCTTACCCCTATATCAAATCGTATGCACTATGCTACACATGATGTATGAGCTCAAAACCAGGAACGGTACCAATCTCAGCTATCACTTTTTGGATTTCAATTTGTTTTTCTTGTACCTTACTTATTTTTCTTCAAGTGTAAATCGAACTCCTAGCTTCTGGGGAACAAAAGAAAATATTAAACAAAATGAAATCATATCAATACTAGCCATAAAAGAAAAACACACCTCACTCTCTCCTTTGAGCAGAAATCCGGAATCTGTGGAGATTACCAGTCACACGCTAATGAAAGATAGAAACAGTGATCAACTGTATGGGAGATAAAGGTTGTAATATCATGTTTACATAAACGAAAACCTATGGTCAATAAAAAGGTGAATATACCATCAATACCTCTTACACGTGTATATTCACTTTTTATTTGACTCTAGCTTTTCGTTTATGTAAACAGGACATTACATCCTTTTTCTCCGATACAGTTGATCACTGCTTCTATCTTTCATTAGCTTGTGACTAGTGATCACGCACACTCCATATATTTTAGATTTTTCCCAAAGGAGAGAGTGATGTGTGATTCTTTTTTATGGCTAGTAATTTCAATTTGTCTAATATTTACCGTTGTTCGTCAGAAGTTAGGAGCTCGATTTAATTTAAAGAAAATAAGTTACGAGACAAACAAATTGAAATCCAAAAAGTGATAGCTGAGAGTGATATTCCGCGTTTTGAAGCCACTAGAGTTGATGAAAATGATCCATCATGTGTAGCAGAGTGCATACGTTTTGATATCGTCAGCCGTGAGGTAAGATAACCAAATTGGAGATTTTAGTACAAATTTACTAAGCTTAAAAATATCAATCTAGCATTTAGGTTAATACTTTGTACGCAAAGTTAGACCTCAATCATTTAAAAACTTTTAGATGGTTTAAATTTATTGCCTTTGGTTCCATTGTTTATTGGAATTATTTTTTTTAGTTAGTTTTGAATATGTTGTTTGAGTTGTTGACTTTTTCTTTGCTAAATCCCTTTTACAGAAGTTCTATTATAACCCTTCTAGAGTTCGGGATGTATATGTATTATTGGATCAAATTTTAGAAATTGAAAATGAGTACAAACAAGGTATAGAGGTAGATCCTTCAATTTCGAAAGGTCATTTAGAACAAGGTGAAAATTATTTTATGTTTAGTAATTTCATCATATGTAAGATGAAAGCTTGTTTAGTGATGATTAATGTATGACTTTTTATTTAATATAATATAATTATGTATATGCTTATGTTGAGAGCCTAAAGCAACTGCATGTTGAAGAACTTTTCTCAAAAGTTAAAAATACCATAGGCACAATTCGTGCTATCATCCCGTTTATGCAGAGTTGTCGTTGATCCGAATGTTCATCACAGAAGTTTGTGGTAAAATTATATATAGTGCATACATGCTCATATTTTTTTGTCATTAAACTGTAATTAATAAATATATTGCTTGTTATCATTTAGAAATACAGAGACTTCTATGTACATCTCTTAATCCCTAAACGGCATTCTATATTGATAAAAACCATTAAAGACTTGCAGCAATTGATTTGTTTATTCTAATTCTCCTAAATATTATTAATAAATAGTTATTGATTAATCCAAAATGATATTTTTCATTCATGAATTAGGAGAATCCAAGAAAAGTTGGGAAGGAAATGCAACAGAAGAAGTATGCGACAAAAGGATACAACAGGAGCGAATGTCTAAGGCTAGCTCGGAGGCAAAGGCTGAAACTATCGAAGGGAAGCTCTAGAGTCGAGATAACATAACCGAGGGAAGTTACCGTTTATGATATGTTCTTTATAATAAATCATGTCCGAACGCGTTAAGGATACATGCAACGTCGGTTGAAAAATTCTGATTGCTACGAGGCACATGGTTTCGAAAGCCTTCTTAGGCTCGATTATGGTCTCATCGGCATCTAACGGTTGACCGACCACATACCGACAACCAAGGACTCATTTATAAGCTTATGACGTCTAAAGTTGTTTAAATGGAACTATGGTTCGGGCGATTTAACTCGGATCCAAAATTTACCCGGTTATCCGAACCGAATAAAACTAGGGTTCTCGATTCTCAAAAATCCTAACTCGTTTAAAGCCGATATTTAAATCCTAAGTTCTATGTGATTTATAAGGATTTTACATCTAACAATTGCCACTAAATCGCAACCGGACTAATTTCTACAAATTACGGCTAAAGTCTCGATTTTTAATTCATAACAAACAACATTCAAAAATTATGAAATTTCAACCACACCATACTCAGCATTTATAAGATTTATGGTAAAAATCTCACTGCTATATTCAGCTCCTAACTTAGTTAACTAAAATCGAGTATTATGGTACAAATTCAAAATTTCCGTTCACCTATCAAACGAAATCCAAAATTCACCAAATTCGAACCTAAGCCTCAAGATATCAAAATATGATTTATCAAATTGGTTTCAGAAATTTCGGGTCAGCCCATTATTTATTACGAATTTCTTGTCATTTAACTCAATAAAATCATATAAATTCATATCTTGCTCGAAAATTCCTAAACTCATTTGTATAATTAACTAAAATTGTTGTCTAAGGCCATGGAGAAAGAGTTTCACCTATTATACCTCTCAAAGGTTCGAAACAAAAATCAGAAAATGGCTAGGGCTAGGAAAAATGTGTCAAGACTTGGATCTGACCCGGTCTGGCTGAGTTGACTCGGGTCTGACTCAGATCCAACTCGCTGGTCACGGATCTGCTTCAACAGGGACAGATCGGGTCTGCTTATGCCGGAACTTGCTCGGACTGAGCTCGTGTGCCTCCAGTCGGCGGAGCTCGCCGGAAATGGCGTGAAGGAGGGCTGCTGCGGGGACGCCGGAAAACGGACGGGGCGCTGAAAGAGGAGCTGCGAACGGGCTGGTTCGCGACGGCGGGCCGAGCTTCTCGCCGGAAAATGGACGGCGCGAACTCGTCGTGGACGTGCTCGCCGGTTTCTTCAGGGACAAACGGAACTTGATGGCGACTGAGACGGCTTGAACTCAGCTGGACGGTGAGCTCGCCGGTGGAAAAAGCTGGACGTCGACTTCGACGGAAATGGAGGTTCGAGGTCGGCTGGAAGCTGCGACGTCGGAAATGGTGGCGAGCTTGAAGGCTGGTTCGCCGGTGGCTGGGTCCGAGCTTGACGTGAGGAGCTCGCCGGAGGTGGTTCGGTGCTTGCCGGAAGTCCTGTCGGCGTGGTGGAGAAGCAGCGACGTAAAGGTGCTCTTTCCGGCGGGAAAACAGGTCGCCGGAGAGAAGGGCTCGCCGTGGAGAGCTGCGGGGCTGAGGTGTGAGTGAGCCGATGTGATAAGGTGCTATATATATATATATAGGAGAGATCTAGGGTTTGAGCTTTTGTTGGGTTCTTACATTGGGCTAGGAATTTAATCGACTTGGGCTAGAAATAGAATTCCTACTTGGGCTCGATTATTTAAAATACTACTAGGCTCGAAAATTAAAAATGCTAACCGAATCTATTAATAGAATGTTTGGCTAGGATTAAAATGTCTCCATTACAGAATTGGGCTGGTTGGCCGGCATAAGTTGGCCCGATTAAATGGGCCCAAAGCTCGTTTGGATAATTTAATTATTAATCGAGACTTGGACTAATTAGTCGGTCGAATAAAATAATATTGGGCCTGGATTTAAAAAATCGACTATAGGCTCGAATTCCAAAATGAGCTAAAATTAAAATCGAACATGGACTCAATTTAATAAAATGGGTTGAAATAAAATTGAACATGGGCTCAATTAATTAAAGTGGGTCGGAATAAAATTGACTCGCTCGAAAATGATTTGGGTCGTGCAGATTAATTATTTGGGCTTCGGCCCGATTAAATAGAATTCCGATTATTTTCAAGGTTCAGTTTTATCTTAAAAATAAAATCGATACTTGGGCTAAATAAATCCGATTTTAATATTAGAAATCGAATAAATTCTCTATGGCTTAGACTTAATACTAATTGCTAGATTTAATGCAAATAAAATAATTAAATGCATCAAATAAGGAAACTAGTTATTTATGGAAATAAAGTCGAGTTGCATAAATAGTAAATAATATTCAGGGCGCTACAGACGGGTGTGAGTTCTTGAGAGTGTAATTGAATGAAAAGCTAGGGCAAGAGTTTTTAATTGCTAATTGTTATACTAATTACTTTGGGATAAGTTATTGTTAATTGTTATTGTAAATAAGTAAACGGCCCAAACAAAAGGCCGAATGCCCAAAACTAAAAGTGTGTCTCCCTTCGGGCTGGGCCTGCTTGTACTGCTGTACTGTACTAATAAATTGATATGGGAAACATATTGTTGTTTTCTTGTTCTTTATATTTTGTCTTGGATGAACTTGAAAGTGAGTGGCAACGATGTGTGGTTCAAATAAAAGGAGTTGAGATGAGATGAGAAGCTATTGAAATTGAAAGTTTGAGTCTTTTGTAGGGATGATGAAATGAATGTGAGTAGAAGAAAATAGGAAAGGGGTAAATGGTAATAAAGTTTCATGCTCTCCATGCATGTTCATGGTGATGTTTTGTTCTGCAGCCTCTTTTTCCTTTTTCTGTATAATGTAAATTTTGTTGGCATGTTTCCATGTGACAAAGTGTTGACATTGTATATTGTGTTTCATAATTGTGGTTCTTGTGTATTTTGTCATGGAGTTAGTTTATTGGCTTGTCAGTTTGTAAATTCATTTCAAGATTTCTACTTTCTTTATTAGTCTTTATGGAACATACTAAAGAATGAGGTGTTTGCTTATTTCATTTGCGATATCTAGATTTCACCACGGATGATTGGTAGGTGGTACAATTGTAAAATCAGAGGAAAAATACATGGGTAAAGTCCACTTTTGTTCCTCCATGTTTAGGGGTATCCAGACTGAGTCCCTATTATGTTTTGGTGCCCAATTTTAGTCCTTAAAACAAAAAAATGAGTCCCTATTATGTTTTGGTGCCCAATTTTAGTCCTTAAAACAAAAAAATATAGTCCCTATAATAGGGAAAAATCCACTTTTAGTCCTTCATGTTTAGGGGTATCCAGACTTAATCCCTATTATGTTTTGATGCCCAATTTTAGTCCATAAAACAAAAAAAATATAGTCCATTTACCTCAATTTCTGTGAATTAACGATTCATTTTTACTCGACTGTGATTTTTTTTATTTTTTTAAAATTTGTTGATTAATGTCAACTTTGACCAAAGAAAAATAAAAGAAAATTTAAATGCTGAAAATATATTAATAAAAAATTAAACTAAAACAAGAAATTGCACCAAATTAAATTAAAATTTTTGCTCGTCCGATTTCTATTTCCCTAGCATTCGCGCTGCGGAGCAAGCCTGGAATCACAGCTACTGCTCTTGCACCCATTTCCGGGTCATGCCATCGAAAAAAATTGCACCTATCAACCCTCTGTTTTTTAACCATTTCTTATCATATTCCAATTGAAGTTCACAGAAAGTACTTACAGGATATAGAGGGCAACTCAAGAATCTTCTCCCGGGATTATCATCCTTCCAGCATGTAGTCAACTTTGCAACCAGCTCACATCCACAAAATACCACACCATTTCCATCCATTTGATCAGATTTAGTCTCTAGGTGGTCAGGTTTTTTTTTTCTACGTTTCACTGCAGTTCACCATTTCTGCCTTTTATTTTACCTTTTTTCAGCATTTAAATTTTCTTTTATTTTTCTTTGGTCAAAGTTGACATTAGTCAACAAATTTTAAAAAAATAAAGAACATAACGGTCGAGCAAAAATGGACCGTTAATTCACATAAATTGAGGTAAAGGGACTACATTTTTTTGTTTTAAGGACTAAAATTGGGCATCAAAACATAATAGGGATTAAGTCTGGATACTCTTAAACATGGAGGACTAAAAGTGGATTTTTTCCTATTATAGGGACTACATTTTTTTGTTTTAAGGACTAAAATTGGACACCAAAACATAATAGGGACTCAGTCTGGATACCCCCTAAACATGGAGGACCAAAAGTGGACTTTCCCCAAAATACATCTGAAAAAGGAAAAACTGATGCCTTTTTTTTAAAAAAAAAAAAATTGACAGTATTGTTCTATTTTTTAAAGAAGTTTGACAGTATTTTTTTCTTTTCTTTTCCTATCCCTAGTTTCCTAGGCATGGAATTGATGCAATTATTGCACAAAAAGAAATAGAATGCATAAGAATCTCTTTTTTGAAAGATTAATTTGTTTTTTTCTTTCTATTTTAATTTGTTCACATTAATTTAAAGGATGAACTACGTGAATGATATTATAGGCTCACATTACATGACTTTTTCTTTTGTTGACTCTGACCAAGTTTTTGTTTTTGCTGGTCATATTTATTTATCTTTTTTTCTGTTTAAATATTATTTATGAATAATATGAGCTGCAATTGCCATTTCCAATATTTTCTTGTGTTATACGTGCATTTTAATCTCTAAATTTAGAATGTGTATTAAGTCAACAGATAGTGAGATCGGTAAAAAAAAAATTTGTTGTGAGAAGATCGGTAAATAAGTAGAAGTGTGACTTTATTGAAGAAGGGACTGCTCTTATGTTATTTGAAGAAGATCGGACGAATGAAATTTTCCCTCCTAAGCATATAAATTGGTAGATCAAGTTTGCAGGGAGGCGCTGATGTGAATTTGGACCGATCGGCTTGAGGTTATGTTAGGCTGGTTTTGATGTTTGTGATAACAATAAAGATATAATTTCCTACTAAGTCAAATTGGCTAATCAA